CCAGTATTCCCATAGTCTATATCTCCCTTTCAGAGAGAGGTAAGTCCACTTAAACGGGGACTTTGGACTATCTCCGGGGGCTATTGCAGCTGTTGTGGCCACAGCCTGTCCTATAGCACACTCCTTGGTTTAGTCTCATCTGCCCATTTGCAGGGCTGGTGGTTTGAATTTTATGTGTATGTGTGCATATATGTTTGCATAATGAAGTTTTACTGATATGCTCTATTACATTACATGTCCAGATTACTTCCACTTGCCAGAGATCTCTTGTAGCAACATAAAACAGTTAAGTAAAATAATAGCGACCGTATCTGAAAGTGTATGCAACATTTCATAGCTGTGGCACCCCTAACTCTTACTTCTTTTTTAATTAACAGAAACCTATTTTCTCTCTCATCCCACTAATCCTACTGACAAAAATAAAAAAGAAAAAGCAATTTCTTAAACAAATATGCATAATGAGGTAAAACAAATTCAAAACAAATCCTTCCATTGGTTGTACATAAAAATAAATATGTCTCATTTAAAACCCTAAATCCATCTACCAATTACCTCTCTGTTATGGATTACATATTTCATCATCAGTCTTCTGGAATCATAAGTGGTCAACATATTGATCATAGTTCTTACAGCTTGCAAAGTTGTTTGTTTTTATAGTGTTGTATTCTGGTTTAATTCAGTTCATTCTCCATCAGTTTATAAAAGTGCTTTAAATTGTTCATTTTTATAATATTTGCACTGTAGTGTAAATTATTCTGGTTCTGCTTACTTAACTCAGCATCATTTTGTCTAAGTGTTTCCATGTTTTATTGAAATCATTTATTTCTTCATTTCTTACAGCACAAGAGTCCTCCATTACATTAATATACCACATTTTATTCAGCCATTCATCAACTGGTGGGTATTCTCTTAGCTTCCAGTTGTTGTTATTGTTTTTCCTAGCACAAAAAGAACTGTTATAAATATTCATGCACATAAAGGACATTTTCCTTTTTCTTTGTTCTCCTTTGGATATAGGCTTAGCTGTAATACAGCTGGCTCAAGGACCATACATAGTTTAGTAAATTTTTGTGTATAATTCCAAATTATTTTCCAGAATGGTTGTCCCCATTCACAGGTCCACCAGCAGTATATCAATGTACCTATTTTCCAACTTTTATAATTTTCCTTTTTTGTCTTCTTTGCCATTTTGATGGATGTGAGGTGTAATCTTGGATTTGCTTTACTTTGCATCTCTCTAGTTAGCAGTGATTTCAAGTTTTGGGTTTTTGTTTTTTTTTTGCTATAAATAACCTGAATTTCTTTCTTTTTCAACTGTCCATATCCTTAGACTATTTATCAATTGGGAAATGGTTCTTTTTCTTACAAATTTGAAAGAATTCCTTATATGTCTTCAAAGTGAGACCTTTATCAGAGAAACTTGCTGCTAATTTTTTTTCCAGTTGTTTCTTTTTCAATTTTAGTTTTATTATAGTCATGTAAAAACTTTAATTTTATGTAACCAAATTTTTCATTTCATCTTTTGTAATCACCATTATTTTTTATTTAGTCATGAGCTTTTCTTCTTTTCATAGATCTGATACAAATTTTTCCCATGTTTCTTTATTTGTTTCTGACGTGACCTTTTATGCACAGATCATATATCTGTTTGGAAATTACCTTGTGTAAAGTGTGAGGTGTTGATCTAAACCTAATTTCTTCTATACTGTTGTCTAACTTTCCTAGTTTTTGTGAAATAGTGAGTCCTTATCCCAGTAGTTGGAATTTTTGTGTTTATCAAATACTAGAATATTACATAAGTTTGCTTCTGTATGTTGCATACCTAATCTGTTCCACAAATCAATTTCTCTAATTTTTAAACAATGCCTATTTTTTTTTTAGTTTCTTAGTTTAGTGATAACTGCTTTGTACTATAGTTTGAAATCTAGCAATGCTAGGCTCTCTCCATTCTCATTTTTTTTCATTATTCTTTTGAGGTTATTGACTTTTTCCCTTCTTCCATGTACATTTTGTTATTTTTTCTTAATTCTGAAAAGTAATTCATTGATAGCTTACTTGGTTTTTACATTTACATTGAATGAGTAAATTAATTTGTGGAGAATTACCACTTTTATCATATTGGCTCATCCTACCCAAGAGTAATTAATATTTTTTAATTATTTAGATCTTTTATTTCTGCAATTAGTTGTTTGTAGATATGTTTATATACTTCTGGTGTATAACTTGTTAATTTAGACTCCCAGGTATTTTATAAATTCTGTAGTAATTTTAAATGACATTTCTCTTTCTATCTCTTCCTGCTGAATTTTATTGACATGATAAAGAAATGCTAATAATATTAATTATTAGTTAACTTTTTATGGTTAAGTATTCCATCATATAATCTGCAAAAATTGATAAATTTGTATCTCCTTTATTATGGTTATTATTCCCTCACATACTTTTTCTTGTCTTATTTTTATAGCTACAATATCTAGTATTATATCAAATATAAATGTTGAAAAATGGGCATCCTTGTTACAAACCTGAATTTATTAGAAATTATTCTAGTTTATCTCCATTGGTAGCTCTTGAGTTTAGACATGTATTATATATCACTTTAAGGAAAGAGCTATTTATTCATATTTTTCTAGTGTTTAAAAAAACTTGTATTCTATCAAAAGCTTTTTTTGATATCTATTGATATGATAATTTTTGGTTGATAATGTTATTAATACATGGCACAATGCATGATGTGCTGGACTGGAAGTCAGGAATACCTGAATTCAAACTGTGCCTCTGATGCTTACTAATTGTGTGACAACTTCTGTTTGCCTCCATTTCCTCAGCTATAAAATGAGGACCTTCTTCATTGGGTTGTTGTGAAGACCAAATGATATAATATCATAAAACACATGCAAACCTTAAAACACTAGATACTGCTGCTGCTGCTACTACCAGTACCACCTACCATAATTCCACTACTTCTATTACTACAAGTTTTTAGTTTTCCTAATATTAAACAAATCTTGCATTCTTGTTATGAATCCAGAGGAAAGGGGAATAAAAGAGGGATGGTAGAGTCAGAAAGGCATTAGTCATAAGGGAAACCAACCTAAAGTTTGGAAAGTGGATAGTAAAGAAAAGGTTAAAAGGAAAAAAAGCTAACTTGAAATGAACATGGAGAGGGGAGTTTATTGAAGAAAAAGTATAAAGCAGAAGAGGAATAAAAAGTATTATCTATCATAACTGTGAATGTGAATGAGATGAACTCACCCATAAAATGGAAGAGGTTAGCAGAATTAATTAGAAAGCAAAATCTAACAATATGTTATTTATAAGAAACACATGGGAAACACAAAAACACACAGAATTAAAATAAGAGGTTGGATCAAAATCTGTTATGTTTCAGCTGAATAAAAAAAAAGGATGGCAATAATGACTTCAGACAAGGCAACAGGAAACATGTCTTAATTTTAAAAAGAAATACATTTTCTGAAAGGTTAACTAGACAATGAATTGATTTCAGCACTCAACCTATATGTGTCCAATGGCATAGCTTCTAATACTTAAAGGAAAAACTAAATTACAAGGAGAAATAGGCAATAAGATTAAAATAATGAGTGACTTCAATTTACTTCCTATCAGCCCTAGATAATTCTCATTGAAGAGTAAGCAAGAAAGAATTTAAGGACCTGAATAGAATATTATAAGAATAAGATATAATAAACCTCAAGTGTTTGTTGAATGGAAATAGAAATTTGTATGCACATTTCCCAGCTATGCATGTCACCTTTATAAAAATCAATCATGTGTTAGGACATAAAAGCCTCACAGACACATGCAGAAATATAATACACATCCTTTACTTATTGCAATATAATAAAAATATGATTCAAAAATTTTAAAAATCAATTACTTAATCTTGAAGAATTGTTGGGTCCAAGAACAAATCATGGAAATAAATACTTTCATTAAAGATGACAACAAGAGACAGCACCACAAATTCTTAGGATGAAGCCAAAGTAGTCCTTAGGGGACAATTTGCATCTCTAAACTCTTTAATCAGCAAACAAGAGAAAGAACACATAAAAATAGAAAATTCTACTAAAATCACTAGAAAACCAGCAAATTAAAACTCCCAATTAAACACCAAAATAAAAATCCTGAAATTAGAGAAATTAACAATATTGAAAACAAAAATTGAATT